AGTGACCCTTGGCACCCAGCAGTGACCCTCACCTCCCAGGGATGACCCCGAGCACCCAGCACTGACCCTTGTCACCCAGAGGTGACCCAGGAGTGACCCTTGGCACCCAGGGGTCCCCCAGCAGTGACCCTTGGCACCCAGCAGTGACCCTTGGCACCCAGAGGTGACCCAGGAGTGACCCTTGGCACCCAGGGGTCCCCCAGCAGTGACCCTTGGCACCCAGCACTGACCCTCACCTCCCAGGGGTGACCCCTGGCACCCAAAGGTGCCACCACCCCCCTTGAAGCGTCACCTTGAAGGCCTCGAAGATCCTCTTGAAGAAGACGAAGTTGGGGTCGTAGATCTCGGGCTCCTCGCTCACGTACTCGATCTCCACCTCGGGGGTGTCCCCGGCGGGGGTCTCGGGGTCCCCCCGGGCGGGGGTCGGGGTCGGGGGTCCCTCCCGGGCCCCGCCCCTGCCCCGCTTCTTCTTCTTGCGGTTGCGGCGCTTCCGGTTCCGCTGGGAGGGGACAGGAGGGGACAGCGAGGTGGGACAGGCCCCTCTAATTGGGGGGACCCCCAATGGGACAGCAGAAGAGGGGACAAAGGTGACACAAGGGTGACACAGGGGACCCCAGAGTGGGCCACCCTCCCTGCACTTGGTGGGGACAAAAAAGGGACATTGGGGTGGCACCAAAGAGAAACAGATCCCCTCAGTAAGGGGACAAAAAAGGGACATTGGGGTGGCACCAAGAGGGGACAGATCCCCCCATTAAGGGGACAAAAAAGGGACATTGGGGTGGCACCAAGAGGGCACAGATCCCCCCAGTAGGGGGACAAAAAAGGGACATTGGGGTGGCACCAAGAGGGCACAGATCCCCCCTAGTAAGGGGACAAAAAAGGGACATTGGGGTGGCACCAAGAGGGGACAGATCCCCCAGTAAAGGGACAAAAAAGGGACATTGGGGTGGCACCAAGAGGGCACAGATCCCCCCCAGTATGGGGACAAAAAAGGGACATTGGGGTGGCACCAAACAGAAACAGATCCCCCCAGTATGGGGACAAAAAAGGGACATTGGGGTGGCACCAAAGAGAAACAGATCCCCCAGTAAAGGGACAAAAAAGGGACATTGGGGTGGCACCAAGAGGGGACNGGGACAAAAAAGGGACATTGGGGTGGCACCAAGAGGGGACAGATCCCCCCAGTAAGGGGACAAAAAAGGGACATTGGGGTGGCACCAAGAGGGGACAGATCCCCCCCAGTAAGGGGACAAAAAAGGGACATTGGGGTGGCACCAAGAGGGGACAGATCCCCCCAGTATGGGGACAAAAAAGGGACATTGGGGTGGCACCAAGAGAAACAGATCCCCCCAGTATGGGGACAAAAAGGGGACATTGGGGTGGCACCAAGAGGGCACAGATCCCCCCATTAAGGGGGACAAAAAAGGGACATTGGGGTGGCACCAAAGCGACCCAAACCCCACCACAGGCCCCAAGAGGGGACAACAGTGACACCCCGGTGACACAGGCAACCCCAGAGCCATCCAAACCCCCTTCCCAAAATAAACCCATCTCGGACCACCCCATCCTGCCCCCACCATGGCGAAATTTGGGGCACCCTGAGGACCCCCCCACTCGCCCAGGGGTGCCAGTTTGGGTGGGAGGTGGCCTGTCCCCCACTGTCCCCTCTGTCACCTCCTTTTTGGATGTCCCCGTGTCCTCCTCAGCCTCGGAGGCCGACGCCGACGCTCGCAGCTCCGTCTCCATCTCGTCCTCGGCTGGGGGACACGGGGGGTCAGGGCTGTCCCCAGCCTTTGGGTGTCACCCCCACCTCTGGGTGTCACCACCCCACATGTGGGTGCCACCCCCACCTTTGGTGTCACCCCCCCAGAGCACAAACCCCAAATTTTAGAGGAATTTTGAGAAGATTTTGGGAGGGTGGGTGGCACCCGGTGGGCACTGGGTGACGCTGGGGGTGGTGACACCACTTTGGGGTGTCCCTGGGC